TTGTTTGCCTGGTTTATATTCAATCGAGAAATCATACCCCATAAGCTTGGAAATCCAATATTGTTGCGCTGGTGTAGTAATGGACTGATTGAGGAGGTGGCGAAGGCTTCGGTGATCTGTTCAAACCAAGAAATGCCGCCCTATGAGGTAGGGCCTCCAATGTCGGATGGCAAGTACCAGAGCCATTAGTTCACTATCATAGGCTGATCGTTTGGAGGAACAATCTGAGGTAACTTTACTGAAGTAGGCGATTGGCCTTGAGTTTTGCATTAACACAGCTCCTACGCCGCTTCCCGAAGCATCTGACTCTACAACAACAATCTACTCTACAACAAATTGTTGGGAAAAATCGGGCATTGCCAAAATTGGGGAAGATGTGACAGCTTGCTTGAGGAAATCAAAAGATTGTTGGGCTGCCTCTGTCCAGAAAAATTTATCTAAGGCCTCCTTCTTGAGAAAAGCTGTTAATGGCTAAGCGATTTGGCCGTAATGTCGGATGAATTTCCGATAGTACCCTGTCAAACCAAGAAACCTCCGGACTGCTTTCACTGACTTTGGGATGGGCCAACGAAGAATACTGGATATCTTAGCAGGGTCCATAGCTACACCAGTACTTGAGATGACATGCCTCAGTTATTCAATTGAAGTTTGTCCAAATGAACATTTCTTCTGGTTGAGATGGAGCTGGTTATCAATTAGTGCTTGCAAAACAGTGGAGAGATGCTGTAAGTGAGAGTCCCAGTCATTGCTGTAGATCAGAATGTCGAGTCATTGCTGTAGATCAGAATGTCGTCAAAAAAAACCAGCACAAACCGTCGCAAGTATGGACGAAAAATGTCATTCATAACCGCCTGAAAGGTCGCTGGTGCATTGGTAAGGCCGAAAGGCATAACCATGAATTCGTAATGTCCTGAATGAGTTCGAAAGGCTGTTTTGTGGATATCAGGAACTGCAACCCGAATCTGATGAAACCCAGTTTTTAAATCCAATTTGGTGAAGATATGAGCCCCATGAAGTTCATCCAAGAGTTCCTGAACCACTAGAATTGGATATTTGTTGGGTATTGTTACCTTGTTGAGCTCACGGTAGTCCACACAAAAACGCCAACTCCCGTCCTTTTTGCGGACCAATAATATTGGGCTAGAAAAGGGGCTGCTGCTGTGCCTAATAATACCGGCAGCTACCATTTCAGCCACTAACCGCTCAATTTCGTCCTTCTGTACATGACAAACGGTAGGTTTGACACATATAGGGCCCTTGGCCTGGGTTTAAAAGGAATTGGTGGTCGAGATGCGCTCTGGGGAAGGTTCTGGATTTCGGCAAAAGCTTGAGTAAGCAACAAATCTTGCAGGGCTGTAGGTATGGAATTTGCGGAGGCTTGTGATTGCGGTTGTGTTGGTTCCAATTGCCATAGCAGGACAGAATAAAGGATTTCTGTCGTTTTGTGGAGGGAGTATGGAGAAGCAGGGGTTTTGCACAAAGAAGGGTTACCAGAGAGGGTGATGGTTTGATTTTGGTGGTGGAATGTCATGGTCATGGTTGCCCAATTGTGCTGAATATTCCCAAGTGTTTCAAGCCAAGCGATACCAAGAATAAAATCCACACCATTAAGGAATAAAATCCACACCATTAAGGGGAAAGACGTAGAAATCAGCTGTGAGGGTTATGGCACTCACTTGAAGCTCAAGACCCATACAGACCCCAGTAGCAGTAATGCGGTACCCGTCGCCTAACTTGACGTAGTAAACTGGAGTTGGAGATACATTCAAGTTCATTGTCTTGGGTCTGGTGATACCGCCAATTGAACACATAGGAAGTTCAATATTGGAGAAGTGAATCTCGTACCACTCCACAGGGCTTAGCAATGCTGAATTTTCTGATGATTCAGTGGTCGTCTCATTATTGATAGGAAGGGTATCGTCATCTCCCGCAATGAGTGCTCGAAGGGATTTATTTGGGCATTCATGAAGGGGGGTGTAAGGGTTTTTACATTTGAAACAAAGGCCTTTGGCGCGTAGCTCCTGGTACTCTTAATGAGAGCATTGCCTTGTGCCACGGCTACGGTTGTTTTGGGTGGTGGGGGCTGGTTTGTGGGGTGGCGCTGGAAGGGAGAGTGGAACGTTGATGGATGAAGAAGGATGAGTTGGTGATATGGGGCAAGTGGAGGTAGTTTTGGGTTGGGGGCTAGTGATATGGGCTGTGGGTTTGTAAGAGGATGGGCTGGTAGTCTTTGGGCCAATGCCAAATTGGGTAAGTGGCTGGGTTTGGGTGTTGGAGCTGGTTGAAGTCTTGGGTAGTGGAGATGACTGTAGTTCTCTTTCAATTTCTCGCTAGACCTTCATGGCATTGTATAGATCGACGGTATCCCTGGAGCGAAGGCGGAGTCGGATGTCACTACGCAACCCATTCAGAAAATACCCCTCCAAATACGGCAATCGGAGAGGCCTGGGACTTGTGTGGCGCCGAGCTATAAATTCATCAAGGAAAGCAGCGAACAGACCAGTTTGTTTTTAAACTGCGCCAAATGTTCTTAGGGTGTTTGCGATGTCGCCACCCATATTGATGGGTTAACTCTGACTGATTTCAACATTTCCCAAGTGAGTTGAGTTGCGTTGGCGAATCCAGAGGAACCAGTGAAGGGGTGCGCCGACCATGGCAACGAGGGCGGCGAAGACACGTTGGTCCGGTTGGATATGGTGAATCTCAAAAAATTGTTCGACTCGGGCAAACCATCCGACGAGATCTGTTCCATTGAACTGGGGAATGTCTGAGTTTTTATGGGTGAGAATCTGGTGGTAAGGTTGTGAATGAGTTGTCGGGTTAGTGGGCTGTGGGTTATTGAAGGTTATAGGCAGGGTAGTGATAGTGGGGTGTTGAGTGTAAAGTGGGTCGGGTATAGAAGATGAAGAAGGTGTGCACTGTTTTGTGTGCACTGTTTTGGGTTTGAGGAGTCACCTGATTGAGGAGTGATATGTTGTGAAGAGAGGTTATGGAGTAGGGTCTCAATGGTGGTAAATTTCTGGTCAAATGAGGAGAGACGGGCTTCCAATGTGTGGAAGGTTTTGGACTGCTCTGTTTGTAAGGTCTGGAGAGAATTGTCGATGGAGTTAATACGGTTTTCTAAGGTGGAAACATTCCTCTCTATCTGTTCGAAACGACTATCAGATCGCGTAGTAGTCATTGGAATCCAGGAGCAGGTCGGACCAAATTGATAGAGTAAGGAAATAACCAAATAAAAAAAAAAAGAAAGTGAAGAAGAAGAAAAATCTGTATTTCAATTCAGATCAAGTGTAACAGATTACAATCTTCAGATAATTAAAAGTGAAGAAGAAAGAAAAAGAAAACTAAAACCAAAAGGGGAAAATTTTTGAATCCTAAGAATCAAAGCCAAGAGCCTGCAGTAGCTCTCAACATACAAATGAAAAATGGGGAATATTTTTATCCAGATGCCTCCTCCTTGCCCTCTGGCTGTACTATATACACGATCCCCCTTGTTGTAAACTGAATTTGGGACAGGTGTCCCTCCTCCTTGCCCTCTGCTGTACTATATACACGATCACCCCCTTGTTTGTAACTGAATTTGGACAGGTGTCCTAATCATTGGTGTGGCTGATGTGTCTCCCTTAATTCCCAAGGCAGCAATCCCCATTTGATCTTGGGCCCTTCTTTGGACCTTCTGGAATATACCCTTAACTGCTTAGGCTAAGGTCTATCAAAGTTGGTGTGACAGCGTACATTAAAAGTTCTGGTTGTAGGAATTTTAGAGGCAGCAACTTAAATATGAGATTTTGGATGGTTCATTAAATCTTATTATGAGTAGGAAAATAAGTAGGAAGAAAGAAGGGTCTGTGCTGGTCTAGTAACTTCCATAAAGTTTGAAGGTTTTGTGATCAAAAGAGCTAAAATTTTGGGAGACTCGAAGTTAACTTGGAATTTACAAAGTAAGCATTACTTTGTCAATAGCCACCAAGGGGTGAATTGTGCAAAGTTCTTGCATTTAAAAAGAAAAGTAGGAAAAAGTCACAATGGAATTTCAACCGAGGAGTTGAAGAAACGAAGAAATGGAGGTTGAAGGAATTATACATAGAGAGAAATAAAAGTTTTTTTATATTTATAGAGGGTAGAATTTTTTTTATTTTCCCAAAATGTCCCTCTCAACAAGCAATTATTTGGCTATTGGTAAAGGCAAATTTATCCCTTTACACCTTTTTCTTATTGAAAGAAAAAGATTAACATCTAAAGGGGTATTGCCCCTGCGTCCATACTAGCCAGGAGTGCTAGGTGCTAGCAATGGTCATTCGCATGGGCATTACTGGCAATTAATTCAATTTTACCTTTTCTTTCTTGGTTTAGAACTAGAACAGAACCCCGCAATTCTTGTCCTGTCCGGTTCTGTGGGGCCTACAGCCTAAACCAATCCAACCTGGTTCCCTGCCAGTCTGACATAGCACCGATTTTGGTTCAGACCAGCACTCCACCACTGTACCTAGAAAGTCAAATCTACTTTGTCTTCTTAACCATAGGATGGATTTTCTCCAGCGGTTAACAATAAAGTCGACTTTATTTTGTTAAGAACAGCCACTCCACTCTAGATAAGATTACATGACAAGTAAATATCTCAATAGCAAAGAAATCCCTAGCTAGAAAGGATGGGCACTGTCCCTTTGAACAAAATATCTCTTTCCTGATGCAAGAGCTTTAACCTTGATTTCTATATGGGTATTTCCCCTAAAACCATCCAATATTTGCTTTTCACCTTCTCAACACAAATGCCCCCAAGGCCTTTAACCTTTCCATATCGAAGGCCATCCAGAAACTTTTCTTGCAGTACTTGTTATATTAGACTATTTTTCACAACTTGCAGTTGGAATGTCTTTGACAATAGTGTCTTAAGCCAAGAGGCAATAATATATGAGAAAGATGGTACTTGCATATGATTGCCTAAAAAAAAAAAAGATTCTTGATAAAAAAGAAAAGATTGCAGGAGCTGAAGCACTCACCCCCAATTGTATAAAGCGTGAGGTATCATGTCTATGCCTGTTCTTGGGTCTACCATAGATTGAAAGCATTCCTCCATAATAGTAAGAGCAACAGCTAATTTTGAGTTGCATTCCGCCTTAAGGGCAAGCCGTTGAGCAGAATGAACTTTTTGGTCCTCATGAATGCATCTTAGAAGTGACCAAGAAAAGCCATCAGCAATATGATTACTGATTCCTACATAGGAATGAAGACCTGAGCAAACCTGCATATACAAGTGAATCCAAGTTTTCTCGTCACAATCATGTATAAACATATATTATTAACATTCGCGCAGAAGGCACGGCTTAACCTCTAAGGCAAGATTATTACAGAAACGCAAAAGTCTAAGCTACATATAGCGGTTTATGCAGATACCATTCTCTTGGTAGTAGATTTGTTTGAATCATACTCGCATCTTATTTGGTCAAAGACAGCAAGTCTATCTCTCAATGCATATAGCCAAAATAAAAGGTAAGGACATCTTAGATTGATAATGTATAAGCAGGCATGCTGATGTAGGCCTTAAGGTTCACATTTAAGACTCAGGCTGTCTATGAGGAATATGGACCGATTCACATGCATTCCATATAGAAAGGAAAAGTAAAAAAGTCAAAGAAATAAGTCAGATGAGCGTTTTTGTTTCTTTTAAGGAAAAAAAAAATATACATGAAGAGACAATTGGCTTTCTTCAGACCTTTCCTATTTAGCTCAACATTGCGGAAACAATACAAGATTTAGAATTTCTTTATGGTCTCAATAAGAAGAATAATTGAAAAGCTACAAATGGGTCTGATAGATGATTGAGAAATCCAGAAATGAATCATAAAAAGAAAAGGAGAAATAGGAAGAAAGAAAAAAAAAAAAAAAGAAAAACAAAAGGAGAAAGCTATCAAATCTTTTACTACCATCCCCAGTTCCCAGTCTAGTTAAAAGAAATAAAAGAAAAAAAATATTCCCAATCCATTCTTGCTCTTCTCATATATTGGCAGAAAAGCAATTCATCTCTGTTGGGCTTCCTCCTGACAGATCTGAAACTGAAATTTGTTGTTTTTTCCATTATATTACAAGAGAGGCTAATGTAAGGTGAATGATAGAGCCTACTATAGCAAGGAGAAGAAGAAGAAGAAGAATGGTAGGAGAGAGAGTTGATTTGAGAAGATACAGAAAGTTTGACGATAAGGAAATACGGTGAGAAAAAAAGGTGAATAAGTAATAGTGGAAAAGACCAAAAAGGGTACACAAAATTTGTTTTTTTATCAGCTTAAAAGAATTTGATTTCATGTTGTCCTTTCAAGTTTTAGGTGTTCAATGTAGGCAAAATTGACAACTTTAAAGGTATAATAGGTCATTCATAAAATTTTAGAGTGTTATTCGGTTAAATTAGCAAAGTTCAAGGGTAAATTTATGTATTCGGCCAAAAAAAAACTAATAACCACATAACAATCATAGAGAAGGCAACAAAGACGCGGGAAAAGACTCCAGAAGTTCCATTACTATAAAAGGTATTAATCACAGTAATTAAAGATGCAAAGGGCTGCTTGAGCCAAGGCGCTAGCCTCTAGGCAAAGGCACATGCCCGATCGAGTTGAGGCGCAAAAATTTTAAAAGAAAAAATTAAAAAACATAAATCTAAAAACTATATATAACATATCAAGAAAAGAAAAGGAATAAATAAGAAAAAATGAAGGAAAAAAAATAAATCAGAAAAAAATCAGCAACATAATGACTTATATTTTAAGATATCGGAGCTAAGATAGAAAGGAGTAGAATTAAGAACAATAACAACAACTAAGACTTATTCCCAAACTACTTGCAGAAGAGAATAGAAAGAAAATAGATGGCAAATATAGGAAGAGAAATTGAGAGACATTTGAATGGCAGTTGGTTAGAAGCTAGATCGTAGGAGGTGAGCACTAGATGGAAGAGCCAAGGCTGAATTGCAAAGCACATTACTGGTTTTTATGTTGTATTCTATTTCTTTTATTTATTTTATGTAACAGATCTCAGCAGGACAGCTTTACATTCAAAGAAAATCCTAGGTGAATTGTTCAAGGAAAAAAAAAAATAGAAAGGTAAATGGCGCAAGCCCTTGAGCCTCAAGTAAGGCGCGCCTTTAATAACTATGGTAATAATTCAGACTTCTATGAATTAACGATTATGAAAGTTGAGCAAAAATACCTCTTGGCAGCTCCCACCACAAAACCAAGAATCAGAAGCCGCATCTTTATGTATATTTTTCCTTTTCCAGCATGTTTCATGATCTATAAAAATAAGAATCGGCAGGTGAATTAGAAACCCAATGACAAGAAAAGAACATTGATTATAGAAATTAAAAGCTACAAAGTCCATGTTACCATCATCAACCACTAACTAGAAGCCAAGATCAGAAGGTCCTAATGACTTGGATAACAACATGATAACACAGAGAAATCATGAATAACTGCTCACATGTAGAAGTAATGGCTACACAAGTATTTCTAGAATACCAATTGATTTCATGGATGCTTTTGGAAAGATAAACTACTTATAAATTTACAGAAGTTACAAATAGTGGCATCAAATGCAAAAAGCCCAAAGTTAGATTGTACACAGAATATAAAAGCCCAACGTTAGATTGTACACAGAATATAAAAGCCCAAAGTTTACAAAGATTGCAAGCAAATCATGATCCAAAAGTTACATGGTTCTTCAAATTCTGAAAAGCTCTCCAACATTACTTATTACTACAAGAGTGGATAAGCAGCGTACAAGTTATCAACATAAAAGTAGGGTTTCAAATCAATAAAAGCTTTCACTTTACACATTAAATCAATACTATATGCCATTGCATGCCTTGGAGAAATTTTTTACTCCAAAAAATATTAGCCTGAACTTAAGGTCCAGTTTTAAAATGCACATTTGGCACCAAAGATTTCCAAGTCATACATGAGCTTCAGTAAAAATAATAGATATAAAGCAGGATGTTAAATAACTGTCATTTCTTAACATTTCGGAAGTTCAGCCCACTGTGATGTTATTTTCTGTTTCTTTATGGGTTATTCACCAATAACCTAGAACAGCAGACAGAATATCAAAAACAACCATTTCTGTCCAATTATTCACTTAACATATTTGTGCGCGTGTATATGTGTGTATTTATCTTATATTTAAACGAATTCTTGTTTATTATTATTTTGAGTGATTTACAGCAGGTGGCGGCCAATTTGGAACAATTAAAATCCTTCTTAGACTGATTCCATGACACAGTTTCTGCTTCTGTTACTATTTCCAATTCTGTTATTTAAAACACTGGATTCAAGCAAAATAATATAGCTACAGACAAATAGCAAACAATCCAGCAGCAAAGCTGGCCTTGAGAGGTGGAAACATTACATTTGTGCTCACACTGTGAGCATTTCAATGCACCAAGAGAATTGGAAGCATCTTTATCATTAACCAAATCCCCACATATCCGACAAGTGCAGTTTGAGCAATACCAGCTGCCTTCAGGAAGCTCCTGAAGTAAACAAACGAAAATAATTTCTCAGTTCTTGTATATTAAACTGGATATAATGTTAATCAAATAATTCACTCAGAATCACAGAACAAACAAAAAATTATGTAGCAAATGTTGAGAATATACAACAGCTCAAAACAATTAACAAAAGCATTGTTTCTCATCCTTAATGATATTGAGGATATTCTTAAAAGTAGGGATGAGCAGAATTTGGCTCTAACCAAATGACTAAACAAAAACCAACCTGGTTCAGTTCATATTGAACTTTCAGCGAATTTGGTTCGGTTAGCAAGAAATAAAAATTTTGGTTTTCGGTTTGGTTTTTCAAGAAAACTGACTAGACCAAAACAACTGAAATTATGTTCGGATCGATTCAAATTTTGGTTCAACAAGAAAACTGAACAGAATCGACATATTTTTATCGGTTTGATTCTATTTTTCAAATAAATCGGTTTGCTTAGAAAGGCAATAATTATGAAGTCGGTTACTTATGCTTCATTTTTTTATTTAAGAAAATGGATTATTTCCGTTTGGTTTCCTATGCTGGTTTGGTTTTTATATTTTTTAAATATGGTTTTTCAGTTGGGACGGGTTTGGTTCAGTTTACCGAGATGCTCACCAGTTACTCCTACAAAAGAAAAAAAAAAGGGCAAGAAAAACATCCAGTTACATGGTGGGAAATTAAATTTAATCACATCACCTCCTTCCAAAGACACAAGGACAACATTTTGCAGCATACAAATCCATGTGTATCATTACGTTACATTCCCAACCATCTCAAACACAACACAAGCTTCACGATCATACATGCTACACTTCTAAATTGTAATCCACAATCATATGGAATTCAGAATCTAAAAGGCAAAACCATAAATATGTTGGCTCATTACAGCCCTAAAAATAACAATGTTCGAAATTAACTATTACCTCTAAATTACAAGAAATAAATAAATATATGGTTTTTATATTTTGGTTTGAAGGTATGGTGTGTTCATGTTGGGACGGGTTTGGTTCAGTTTACCGAGATGCCGATCTCATCAGTTACTCCATACTATTAGAAGTATAATAATAATTAATAGGGCTATATTGAAAAATCTATTCCAAGTTTTATTTCTATGGTGTGAGAATATTATTTATATTTAAATTCAGGCATTCACCTTCCTAATTTCCATTAAGACACAAGGATCAATACATTTGCAGCTATACATAATCCATGTGTAGTCATTTACGTTACTATTGCCAACCATCATGCCTAATACGAGCAACACAAATGTCTTTTGTCACGAGTCATACATTGCTGTACATTTTCTATTATGTGGATTATTCCTATCTAGTGTCACTAGTGTAGGTAATTCAGTATATCTGATATGTTTAGGCAAAAGCCATTAATTATGATGTGTGGGTTGGTTGTGGTGTGATTGGGGTGTTTTGTCTCGATACGAGAGTCCTAAAAATAACAATTGTTCGAGAAATTTTAACTATGTATCCTCTAGAAATTGTACAAGAAAAATAGTGAGGTATATTTACGGTTGGTAGTGATGGTATTTTTGTATAGTATATAATATATTATATATGAAGGCGAGAGCATTTGTTTGCCAAGTAAAGTTTGACAGTGTGGGCAAATTTCTATAAAGGCTTCAGGGCTTGGCAGGTGTTTTTCCATAGATAACGGTCATTATGGCGTATATTATTCAATAGCCGTCCTCTTGAGTATGCTATTGCAATTAATAAGTTTATATAATACTGCGAAAATCATAATGTTTCAGGAACATGAATAATCGTAAAATATTATAAATCGATATGCGATTGACTAAAGTAAATGATTATTAATAATAATAAATTTATGCTCGAATCAATATTTTTCCACTAAATGAAGATAATGGCGTCATCAAAGTATCTACAATTTTTATTTTGACTCATATAAGTATAAATGAGAATTAACGATAGATATTATTGTTTATTTGTATCATCCATATCATCGTATTGATTTTTTAAATTAACTGGTGTAATATTGATAATAGTGATGATACTATTAAATAATCATATATTTGTAATGTATTAAAGTTTGAACTTTTGCAAATTTTAAATATTTATTTATCTACAAATTCAACTGGTATAAAAATATTAAATATTTTAATTGAAAATTGATACATAAAAATTTAAAAAAAGTAAATATTATTAAAAATTTTTATTTATTAATATTTATTTCTACACTTTGGCATTTCATTCCCTTTTAATTCATTAAGTAACTGTTATTTTCAATTAAATTCTATTAAAATATTTTTATTATTTATAATTATTCATTAAAATATTTTTATTATTATAATTATTGATTGTTATTTGTTATTTCTATCATGATGTTCTTATCATTTAAAATAAAAAAAAAATTAAATCATAAATTTGAATTTTACAAGTTTTAAATTCATTTGATTACAAATAAGTTACATGAATATTAGAAAAGAATTTTAATAAAAAGTGAAATGTTAAAATTAAAATTAAATGTTAAAAATTAATATTTATCAAAAGTGTGCATAGCACAAGCATGTGGCTAGTAAAACTATAAAACCTGAAATAATTTTATAATTAAAAATGTTTTTAATATAAATTTGACACAACATTCTTTTCTTAGAATATTAAATGTAAAGTCAACCTACATAATTAGGCCTAATTCTAGTACTACTCTATCAAGAAAACCAAATAAGAGCCTGTCCACTTTTGTGATTGTTTTCCTTACTTTTATAGAGAATATTGCTCCTCCCTTATTTGCATTTTTCCCAATTTTGAGCTAGATGTTTGTGTATAAATAAGATGTGTGTAATGTCATTGAACACACAGAAATATACAAAAACCTTTCTCTCATACCTGTTTATGCAACAGAGAAAAATCTCCAAGAATAAGGGAAGAAATGAAAAATTAGATACACCTCCCTCTCTCTCTCTCTCTCTCTCTCTCTCTCTCTCTCTGGGAAGTCTGTAAAATAGGTTCATTCGAAAACACACAGAAATATAACAAACCCTTTCCTCTCCATACCTGTTTAATGCAACAACAGCAACAATATACTCTCCAAGAGTAAGGGAAGGTAAAATGAATAAATTAACGACTACCACCTCCCCTCTCTCTCTCTCTTACTAAATTAAATCAAATTTCCTAATAAACTTCTATAATTTATATCTGTCATATCAAATCTCGTCACCCACCCCAACACCACCAAGTCGATCTACTCAACTTTTGAGCCAAAACCTAGATGATAAACGACACATCACCCTCCTTAAACAAACTATATCTTCAAATTTTTTCACCAAGGGCATGCATGAAAAATAGCGGTCTACTTAAATAAATGATCACAATGCTTTGGGCAGAACGATTATCGATAGGAAAGTGGGTGAATCTGGCACATAAAAGGTCTTCAATTATCAGATGTTAATTCAGAGCCACTTATGTACGTAGACCTACTGAGCAATATTTTCCTAGAGGTTCAAATAAAACGTGGAAAGGGAGAAGGGACCCAACAGCTAGCTCTATAACTTTGAGCCAAACCTAGATGTCGACAATCACCCTCCTTAAACAAACTTATTTCATTTTTACCAAGGGCCTGAAAAATTAGCGGTCTACTTAATAAATGTACATGTTTGGGCAGAAAGATTGATGGAAATTGGTGATCTCAATGAAAAGGTCTTCAATATCAGTGTTATTCAGAGCCACTTATGGCTGATACTGAAATTTCCTAGAGGTTCAAATAAACGGGAAAGGGAAGAAGGGAAAGGAGAGAAGAAGAAGGCAATTATAAAAACATGTAAAGAGAAGCAGCATAAACCATGTAAAAATGCAAAAGACAAACCTCTGTAGACAAGCACGCCTGATGAAAGGTTGAGGGACAGTTATCACAACATATCAACTCACCACCATCACCACAAAGTCCACATGAATCATCATTTTCATCATCATCATCAGCTCTCACCACTGGAGTCGTGTTTTTCCTGGTCTTGTATTCTGATGACCATGCTTGCAGCTGACATAGAGTAAAAGGCTTTCCAGATTCCATCAAGAGATTTAAACATGGACGACTTAGCTTGAAGCCAGCATGATTCTTAAACTTAGAAACTGAAAGCATTGTATTGCAGCATTTACACATGATGCCATCCTTTGTGACCAGACCATCTTTCACCACAGCATCATTATTAGGTTCTCGATACTGGATCACATCATTTAGAGATATAACCCCAACATCAACCAACCATGACAAAACCGTTCTAGATTGCATTATTGACCACTTACCATTGCTGTAACCTTTCCCCACTTTGCTAAAATTTCTAGGGAGTAAACTACAGCTGCCTTTCTTATTCTTAATCTTTTTCCGAGCTCTTGATTTGAATGCCTTCTTTTTGTAAGTAGATTTGATGGCATCCGCACTGAAATCTTTGTTTTTAATAATGGCAGACACCAATAAGTCATCATCTTTAATTAGGCATTCATTTAGTTTCTTTCGTCCGCTTTTACAACCATCAAGATTATGATGCATCTTCTTCTTTGGGCCTCTTCTGTTTACCTGATGTAGGCCAGTAGCAAGAGGTGAGATCTTCTTGCAGCTCTTTTTAGTTCTTGAGTTGCTAGCAAGGTTTTCCTTCAGTTCTTTTGGCTCCAACTGAACATCATTGCTTTGGCATAAAGGGGCTGATCTGATTTCAGATATCTTTCTGGACTTCCTGCGTGTCTTCTTTTTCATAACAACAGTTCTATCCATAGTTTTTAAACTAGAAGCTTGAGTGCACTGTCTATCCTCTTCACCGAGCTCTGTTTTCTGCGCAACATCCGAAGTTACAAGTCGAGTATAAGTTGGTTCACCTTGAGCATAAGAAAAATCTAAGTGACCAACGCCATCATCAGCATCAACCAAGCTACTATCTTGATGAGGGGAAACAGATTCAGATCCCCCCAGCACATTAATATTTCCATTAGTGACAGAGACATCGCAAACACAACCACACAACTGAGCGCAAGTGCTTTCTGACCCACAAGGTAGTAAGGAAGTCACATCAACACAGCTTACCTTGTCCATGCACATTCTGAAAGGCTCATTTCCCATCCCATTGGCAGCATCAACTAAACACATTCCTTCTTTCTCAGCTACATAAATAGAATCATTTCCCTGACCTCTCGCAACCCCATTTTTCTGTTCATCATATTTTGAGAAACTCCTGTCGCCAGATTGCTGAATATAGGCATGGTAATTTTTTTCATTAATTTCTGATGCACTTTGAGTACTTAAAGAAGGATCACCATGCCAAGGCAACAAATTTCTCAGATCAGACTGGTTTTGCAAACCATCCTCACTCGCCAAGGCCATAATAGCATCATTTTTCTCATGCTTGTCAATCACCAAGCTTCCTGCAGTTTTGACAGTATCTCCCTTTCTCAATAAACCAATCTTCCTATCAATGAATACAACATTAACGAAGGGATCTAAAAGACTCCACTGATGAGCCAATGTGTTAACAAAATCAGTTTGATCTATCTCTTTCTCAATATTCAATAACGCAACTGAGAGATCAGACCAAAAATGACTTATATCAGTCCATTCCTTAACATTTTCTTCTTTCACCAAATTGTATCTATCTGCATATAAAGTTTGACCACATACCCTCCAAACTTTAGGGAATTCACGAAACATCCTTCCTTCAGGAGATCGATAGACAGTCTCTGGATATTTCCGACTAGGTCTCTTACGCCTTTCAATACACCAGCCCAATGCTGCAAGTAAATGAATGATATGGCTCTGGAGAAAAGGACGAGGATCCTTCTTAGAATCCATCTTCAAGGTATTGGATATATCCAATCCTGGTGACTCCAATTCCCTTAATCTTTCCTCAACATGAATAGGAGACCCAGGCCTATCTGTAATTGCTGCCGAAGGATATGGAAGCAAAAGCTTGGTTGCAAAACTCTCTTGGGAAACAGGTGAAGCAATAGCTTTACAAATAGCCACCTCCTTGCCAGCATTTCCATCAGCATTCAGTGAACTGCATTTTGGTGTATCCTTTTCATGTGCATCACCACCTCTGTCCATTTCTACTTGTTGCTTTGGCAGATGGCAACAAGATATCGCACCCCGACAGGATGATTCAACTATATATAACGCTATAGTTTGGGTAGCCGAGTCTGCATCAACAGCAGGCTCATTATTAGCAATCTCTTTAGGTTGCATAGATGAAGGAAAAACTTTTACTGTATCAGGTTCAGCGATGAATGGGCCATCAACTGAAAACTTCATTCGCTTGACACTCATCTTCTGGTCATCTCTCTCTAGTCTTTCTTCAAAACAACCTGCAGAAGCTCCTCCAGAATTCTCATTCATATCAGAATCCTCCACCAAAGAACTTTTGGAGGAGGACTGACTTGTTATGGCTGAGTTCTCGCTGTTGGAGCATAAAATATCAGCCGTCCTACTGTCCTCACTCTCAAAATTAATTGAACCACTAAGAAGACTCCCCTTACTTGTGTCCCCAGTTTTTTTCCCGAAGAAAACTTCTGAAAAAATACAGCTCTCATGATGTGAACCCCCAAAGCCATCATTACACCAATCCTCAAATTTCGAGTCAAGCATTACTACTATGTCCCACAGTTTCTAACCTTTGCTATTTAATAACTTCAGACACAAGATAGGCCTACCCCAACAGCAAATTAGATCTCCAATGCAACAAGCTAACCACTTGATAATGTACTAGATATGTTAACAAGCAATGGCACCCATTAATGTGTCATGATCTGGAAAAAAGAAAAACAAAAGGCAAAAACAGTAAGTAGTATGCCAATAGTATGCAACTCAAGAGGCAATACATAATGCCAATTATGCAGCTGCATTATTATATAAACCTAGAAGTTTATATTGGTTCCACCATTTATTGATAACAAAATACCATGAAATTAGAGAGAGAGAAAAAGAGAGAGAACAATATGTAAACTTCTAAATCAAAGAGAACCAAATTCAACATAACAACAACGTTGTAAAAACTTTTGGGTAGATTTCATGCACTATGGACCTAAATCAAGTGTGAAAGGATAATTTCCTCAAACTTAAGAAATTTTGCACCAGATGGAACTAAAGGAAAAGAGAACACACGAGACATCCATCACCCTCATAATAGCATGTTATGTCTAAAGTGTCATAATCACCCACTTCTCAAACCAACCACCCATCAAAGAAAAGAGAGGAGAGTCCCAGGGGAATTTTCTAAATGTGGAGTGCATGGATAAAACAAATATGAATTTATCAATTTTCCACAATTAAGGCACAATAGCTAGTGAGACAATTCCCAAAGGTGACCATTCAGCCATTCCAAACTTTAAGAGAAATCAAAGCAACAATGAAATAATCAGTTTTATGAATGAGCTCGAACAATCAGTGCAGTTGATTAAATTTACAATCATAACACAGCAAAAACGGAGAAACAAATCCTAAAAAAGAAATATTTTCAACTATTGGGATTGGATGGGGATCATTTGTCTGTTACCATGGGAAGGTAACCACATGATAGCATAGAAGCCATTCCTCCAGCTATAGCATTACCTAAAATACCAAATCTAATATAGAAGGGAACTGACGAAATTATAAAATAAATAAATAGATTAGTTAAAGCAAAAGGTGTTTCAGTTAAGTAAATGATATAACAAATTTGAAGGAAACTGTAAATAACACTCCCAACTGGATGGCAGTTGCTAATCTGCTCGATACACTGCTGGTTTCAGCTTTCTTTGGGTTTCTGAAAACCTGAAACTGCTTAGGACTTTCTATTTTGACTATTTTCTAACCTTCCCTTTTCCTAATAATTAAAACTGCCATAATTTTTATGTCGCCTTGAACAACAAAATTATCTACATTTCACATAGCTCAATCAGCATTTTAACTACATAAGGAAAAAAATGCCAGACTTCCATCAACACTATTCAATCAATTTTAATCTGACATCAAAAGAGGAAAGAATCTAAATTCAAATAACAGTCCTATAAGGAATAAAACCTAAAAAGCACACGAACTTAAAAATGTCATTTATGGTAACATAGTGCAGAAATATTTTTCCTAAACAGTTCCTTCAAACACAACCGCCAATTAACATCAACTATTGAAGTCGTTATAAAACTCCACCACCCACTATTACATTTCCCCGATAAATTACCACTTCCAACTGCATGAACTGGCAAACCAATCTTGTATAAAGATTCAAATATCAGGCAAATTTCAATCCAAAAATTGTAGAAACAGCCGGAATTGAACATGCACTGAGAAATGAAAAATTAAGATCTAAGGGTAACCAAAAAACAGAGACTAAGAGAAGGAAAAAGGAAAGAAGAAAGAGAAATGTTGAAATGGCAACCTAGAAAAGTAAGAAACTGCAGACATTTCTCACATTTGAATTTCACATTTCAATCAAATAGTTCTAAAAAGACAAAATCTTAAAAAAAAAAAAGAAAAAAAAAAAAAAAAGAAACTGAACCATTTTCTCACATTTTGAATTTCACATTTCAATCAATAGTTCTAAAAAGATCAAAATTTAAAAAAAAAAAAAAAAAAAAAAAAAAAAAAAAAAAAACATAAGAACAAGAAGAATAAGGAGGCCTCACCTTGATTGCAAACTGTAATAAAAGCTAAGTAATCACATAAAATTAGGGTATGAAATCTAAAGAAAATTGATGGGTTTTTCTCATAAGAGGAAGAAAGTGGGGAGAGACAAATAGATAAAGGAGAATCCTGATAAGAGAAATGGAGAGAGCACTAAAAGTGGGCTCTGTTCAGAGAGAGAAGAGCAGTGGTTGGCCTTGGAGAACCCGAATAGTGCTCTCTCCGGTATAACAAATGGCATGTACACTCTCTCTCTCTAAAAGAACTACCATGTGAGAGTGTATGTAATGGTAGTGTACGCTTTGTTTTGTTTGACCTTTTTCTCTCTTACTGTCTAACGGACTCTGCTTTGCTTTTGCTTTGTCCATTTGCGTTTCCGTTTTTGCTAATAAATTATTAGACGGAATGACAATTTCTTTGCCTAAAATGGAATTTAATGAAATGGATACGATAATGAAATTTGGTTTATACTGGTTCAAGCCAAATCAATTCGATTTGATATTTTATATAATGGGTTCCATTTTGATTTTAATAGAAAGATTGAAATCATTTTGTGAATTTGTGTTCATTTTGATTTCTATTAAACCTAAAAATAAGTTTAAATCAGCCAAAATTAGTTTAAAAATCAAATGGGAATAAATTAAATAACTCATTCTATACATTATTTGAATTTACTTTGAATTTAAAATAATTTAATCTATTCGATTTATATTAATTTGGTTTGATTTGAACTAAATCGGTCGATACTTGACCCATCTTACAATGCGCCACTATCTTGTGTACTTTTTCCACTTTGGAAATTGTTTTACCATAGTTGATTTGCTTAATTTATATTATGTTTTTTTTTTAAATAATTTATATTATGTTTTACTTGTTTAAAACTTAAAAAACAGCATTTATAACGCTTATATTACATAGTACATTCTCTCTTTTAACATTTTTAATAATAAAAATAATTAGGTCAATTGAATTAAATTGGATATGTGACTAATGTGGTCAAATTATTCAGTAAAAATATTGTTTCCCTAAAAAATAATTCTTTTACAATTTAGATTTTGATAATGTTATCCAGATAATAAAATTTAAGGGCTTATTACAATAAAATTGTATGTAATTGCAAAAATTACTGATGGACTATAATAATTGATGCACTTAGCTGGCAATCTTACGTGTCAATATTAGTGATGTGTCAATCATGCAAAGTTTGCTAATATGATGTGGCAAGCATGCATAAAGGGTATAAATGTGTGTGACTAATGTGGTCTAAGTTATTCTGAACAAATATTTTTTTTTTTCTCTAAAAAATAATTCTTTTACAATTTAGATTCTTGTTAAGATACAATTGTCTAGATGGTAAGAGTTAAGGGCTTATTGCAATAAAATTATATGTAATTGCAAATATTATTGATGCACTGTAATAACTGATATACTTAGCTGACAATCTTATGTATCAATATTAGTGATGTGTCAATCATGCAAAGGTTCGCTAATATGATACGGCGAGCATGCATAAAAAGTAGAAATGTCAGGAACAATAAATAAACTATGATTTTCTCCCTCTTCAATTAGTTTTCTTTTATTTTCTTTTATCTCTTTAGTCTTTTTCCTCTTTCTTCTTTTCTTCCATTTTCTCCTTAATTCTTTCTCTCTTTCTTACTTACCAACACGAATAATTTTATTTAAGATCATATGATATCTGACTAACAACTTGTGGCAATCTTATATATTATATCAATAACAATATCAATAATGCATAGCTTAGCTGATCTAATGTGGCAAGTATGCATAAAGGGTGTAAATGTCATAAATAATAAATCAACAATTATTTTCTCCCTCTTCATTTAGTTTCTTTCTCAAATTTTTTTGCCTTTTTTCCTCTTTCTTCTTTTCTTCCATTTTTCTTCCATTTTTCTCTTTAAATCATCTCTCCTTCTTACTCACCAAACATAACTCAGCTAGCAGATTCTATGGTTAAGCTTATTTTTAATATTATGATATTCAGTAACGCATAGCTTAACTAATCTGATATTGGCTTCCTCTTTCTTCTTTTCTTCCATTTTCTCTTTAATCATCTCTCCTTCTTACTCACCAAACATAATCAGCTAGCAATTTATGGTAAGCTTATATTTTAATATTAGTGATATGTCAGTAACGCATAGCTTAACTAATCTGATATGGCAAGCATGCATAAAAGGTATAAATCTGATTTGTAATTAAAAATTATAGAAATAATAATTCAATAATTTATTCTCTCTCTTCAGTTCATTTGTCTCTCAATCTTTTGTCTCTCTTCCTCTTTCTTCTTTTCTTCTACTTTTTCTCTAATCTCCTCTTTTTCTTACTCAACAAACACAATTAACCCTAGATTAGGATCATAAAACATCTTATCACAATAATATTTTTTATAAAAGGGAAAATTGAGTTTACAAATATAAGAGTTGAATTAAAAGCTGAAAAATTATAAACGTTGATTTTTTTTTTTTTTTGAATTGTAAAGTTTCTTAAAACTCAATAATTTAGTTTACATCATATAGTTCTTATGTAATAAATTTTTATTTTTTTCCTTTTCTAGAACTGCAATCTAAGCCACTGAAATTGCAAGGTTTTGATCTTTCTTATTCACATTTGATACACTTTTCATGATTCTATCCTCCATTCTTCATAGTTTTTCTGATAAGCTTTACAAGAAGCGTAAGAATGTTGCTCTTGATGTTTATTTGTCTTTAGAAATCATAGGATTTTTCATTTTAGGTTTTTGAAATAGTTTGATTTTATTATGGCTGAACAATTGTGAATTGCATAGATTGAAAGTACAATGAAGTCGTTGGCTACTACTAAAAATCATGAAAAGATAGTTACATGATCAATTTTGTTATTTATTTTATTAAATTGACTGCATATGGTAAAAAGTGTGCAGGATAAATGATTAAAAACTTGATTTTTAAATAAATTATGTATCAGATTTAAATGTAGAAGATAAATTAAGCATTATTCATTTACTGTTTAAATTTAGAAAAATGCTCATTTTGCCTTTAAACTTGGCCTAGATATACAAAAAGCTCAAAATGAGTTTTTTTGACAAATTCCATCATGAAATAAATATAGTTGCTCAATTTGTCCACCAAATATCATGGTTAGTGTGCATTAAAAGAGAAGCATGTCAAGAGTTGAAAGAAAATGAGTTTTGTTTTTCTAACAAAAGATAGAGTTATGAATGCTAAAGTGGAAGATAACTATAGATTTATTGGTGATGGAGTTAAGGAGCTAGCGGGTGAATAAGGAAATGAGGAACAAAGGCTAAAATGGAGGTTGTTACTAACACAACAACCAAAGTGGAAGAATAACAATGGATTGAGGAATGGGAGAAGAATATAGAGAAGACAAAGGAAATAAAGAAATAAAGATAAAAAAGCTTATGCTTAACTCTAACATATAAAATGTTCCTCCTCTCTTAGATTCATGTTTCAATTTTAAAACATTCCTTCATAACTTTTTCATTATATTTTTCAAAATAATTAACTTTTTGGTGTTACTTAGAAATATAAGGCCTGAATTCTCACATATGATTGACACACAAATATAATTGTTCGCTCTTTTGAATGTGCTCCGGAAGTGCACGGATCATACAAGTAGTAAAAAGATTATCATCCCACATGAATTAGTGAATAGGCTATTAATTTTTTAGTTCAACAATTATTAGGAACATTAGATATGGCGAAAATGATTAAACTAAGTTGCAAATTAAATTGAATATATTCAAATTAAAATTAGCAAGTGGAGATAATCAAAAGTAATTTCGAGCAATTAATGGATTGAGATAATCTAGCTATGGTATCTCTATTAATTCTAGTGCAAACCATGAATAATTGATTTATGATGTCCAAATTTCTCTCTCGAGTTTAAGTGAACTGTTAGAACCACGTGATATCTACTCTCATAGCATAACGTGATTAAAAAGTTATTATGTCAATTCCTGAAGGAGAACTAACCTAGGGTATCTAAATTCCTCTCTTGAGTTTAAATGGAATGTTAAAATCATGTGACATCTACTCTCATAGCATAACACGATTAAAACTCATTAAGTCGGTGTTAAATTTTTTTACCCTCAAAGAACTTAACATATCTCTAGGTCTAAACTTTTAAACTTAATATGTGGGATCCGATCTAACTTATCAATTTCTCAATCTAACAAGCAGATTCAAAATCATGCAAATATGGGGCCTAACACATTACATGCATTAAGCTCAAACACATTAAATAAGAAATTTTAGCATTTAGACATAAATCAAACTATTTAACATTGCATATTAAATTAATAAAAAATCCCATAAGTAGATCTGGATATTTAGCCTAACATTATTACAAATATATAAACCACAATAAAATACACAAAAGGAAAAATAGGCATAAATAACAAACTTTGAAAATTGTTGTGTGGTTGGCCTTGGCGTCCCATGTCCTAAGCTTGTAAAATAATCACAGCCTCTTAATTCTTTTTGTGTTGTAATAACATAATCATTTGCTGTCCCTTTTTTGTTGCTCTCCTCTCATTGATTGGCTCTCACTTTGCTCTCTATTCTAACATGTGCGGTAACAATAAGGAAGCAAACTCCATAGCAGAAGCTGCAGCGCGAGAAGAAGATTTGCCAAAGGAAGTGATGACCAAACGCCAAAGTCGTCGAAGCTATGAGCTAAATGAAGTCCTTATATCCCAGCCTAATAGCAACTGGATGAGCTCGATCATTGATTTCATACAAAATGATGTCCGGCCTAGTAATCAAATGCTATTCCAAGAAAAATACTACTCCCAGGGTATTATTGGCCAACAATGAAAAAAGATATTCGCCACCATGTTCGACATTGTAGTACTTGTCAAAAATATGATCGTGTGCTAAAAGCCCTCTTCAGAACTACAACCCTTAAGTTCAGCCTGGCCCTTCGCTCATTGGGGGATAGACATTCTAGGGCCTTTTTCTACAACAACATGGACAAGAAAATTTATGGTAGTTATAATTGATCATTTCCCTAAATGGGTAGAAGCCGAGACCCTTAGTACCATCACCCTAGCTCGGGTCATTTGCTTCTTTAAGAACAATGTGATATTCACGTAGGATGTGCCCCACAAGATTGTCACTGATAATGGAAAGCAATTTGACTCAGGAGCCTTTAGATCTTTTTATGAAGACTAACACATCGGACTCCATTTTACCTCAGTAGCTCACCCGCAAACAAATACCCTTACTAAAGTCGCCAACAGAACCATCTAACAAGGTTTAAAGAAGAGGTTAGATGGAGAGAAAGCTAA